ACTATTTTTTTCGATATTTTAGCAATATCATATCAGAAAATCGTTTTGGTGCAGCGTATGAAGGATGTGTACAGTTGAAATCTTTCTTAGTCAATCCGTCACTAATACTGCTCTCAATAATGACAAAAACACTGGATGTTTGACGACTGAAGAACCTTCTAATTAACAGTGTACTATTGTTCTTCTATAAACTTCCACCTTTGTTTTATGAAACATCCAGGTTTGCAGTTGATAGATAGTCTGTTGAAACTTGATGTCTCGTTCGTTTATGTTTTCTCTGTACAGCTAGCAAAAGAGGAAAAAATATATACACAGTCTGACTTTACTTTCTTTACTTCTTTTCTATTGGCTGCCTGCATGGAGAAACGTATGTACGTGTACAAAGACTGTCCGGTATTACCATTTCTTACGAAGCGAGGGCTTGTTCTTATTGAGAAGGACATCGAAGTGTGTTCTATTAGCTTGGAAAAATAGTAAGAGGGAAAGAAGGGTGTGGTTTTATATGATTTAGTCCACTGACGACTAAATTCTGGTCAGTGTTAGTTGTAAAACTCGTATCAGTGGACTGTGTGTTTACAGTGCAGAGGAAAGTAGAGGTAAGCGATTCGTCCTATTAAGTTCGTCATTAATCGTGTTAGCTGATTGAGGTTAGTGTGATGCCTGAAACAAAACAGTCCTCAGGATTTCCTGAATCAACTCACATTGAGTTGTATCGTACCTGTGTGTAATAGGTTGCCCGAGTATTTGGGTTAAGGTTTTCGAAATATTCCGTAATTTAGGTAACTGGGCAATCTTCAATTAAGTACGGTTCGTGCACAGAGAGGCAGAAGAGGTTCATGTTGAAAGCAGTTAATGTCAAACTAAGTTAAGCTCATCTTGTGTAACTTATAGTATAAGAAATTTGGAAGCTTCGTGGTCTGTTTTATATAACTTCTTCAAAATAAAGTAAGTCTTGTAGTTTTGTTTAAGTTTTTGTACAATTAGACAAATATTAGCAGATTTTGGGTGTTTAGTTCTAACGAGTTGGTTATCATTCTGTAGCCTAATCAATCACGTGTAATTAAACTACATCAGAGGTGCCACTGGAATGAGTGGCAATGAGTTTTAAATGAGTTAATTCTTTGTTTTGTTTGTTAGGATCTTTTAACTTATGCTTATTTAGATTGGTCGGTCTGTAAATTGGCGAAAGAAAAATCAGAACTGTTTATTAGTTTCAGATTTATGCGCAAATCTTCACATAGGACTTTCTGCGCATAGCCGTCCCTCATTATAATCTGACAGACAAGAGAGAAGGCCTTTTTTTGTTGTTAAGCAGAAAGCTGCACAATGGGCTATCTGTGCTAATCTCGTTGCGGGTATCGAAACCAGATTATTAACGTTACTAGTATAAAAAGCCTATCAGAAATGACAGGAAATCAAAGCCTACCAAATCTGAATCCTCCAATATGCACTTGTAACTTTGCCGTCCGTAAACAGACATGATAATAATAAAAGACCTTCTAGCTTCAGGAAACCAAAACCTATCACGAGCAATATCTACTTTACCTAAAGAGTGTCTCTCACCAGCATCGATTCTTGTCCCAGTATTCATTGATCACAGTTATTTTTATAATCACATCAAATGCATTATTGCAATAGTTCTCTTAAAAACCACATTTCTTGTAAATACTCGATCACCGTTCAAAAACTTCCCTTCGTAACAAATGGCAAATTAACTTCACTCGGTGTTAAATAAATCCTTGGTATAAAAACTCCCTCCTTGACAGACTTTTATACAGCAGAAAAAGTGCTGAAACTTAGGAGCTATTTACGCCTATGTTAGTGATTCTATTCAACTAAAATGGGAACAGGAAGTATTACAGGAGAAAAAGTGGAATTGGACTCGAGTAACTCACGAAATTCGGAGAAATTGAGCTTGATCGACTGACTGACTGACAGACATTTGGGTTTTGTGATAATTATCAGCCTTCTGGCTTACCGCTGAGTCATCGGGGGCAAGGTTAAAGGGAAAGAAGCTACTCAACAACTTCCACGGCAAACTACGGCTGCTGTCGTAAGGTCAACTTGCTGGATTTGATAGTCGAGTGCCCACAGATCGTCATTTCAGCAACTGGTTGCGAACTGTAGAGTCCTCGAATATACAGTTCGGCTACGCTAATTTAGGCCACGCCATTAGTAAAATATGCTATAGAAAACGATCTGAGAAATAATCACTTAGAAAATAATCTTTAACAATTCACATACCTTAGTGAATAAGACTGAGATTTGTGGAACGAAAACACAAAACATAATAAGATAATAATAATAAAAAACAGTAAAAGAAACACAGTAAAGACGGATATTTAAAAACACAGTAATTAATGTACAAATATCAGGCAATAAAGTGTTTTTATACCGCTGTTTATTGACTTGGAAAGCTAAGATATATGGTAAAATTACGTTTCGTCAAAGTAAGTTTTAAAATAAGTGAAGAAAATATTCAAAGTAAAAAAAGGTTGAATGAGACTAAAAAAAAACGACGAGACATAAGACAGTAAAAAAAATCTTTAGGTGATCTTATGTGTTATAGTAATTCTATGTACTGCTGAACAAAATATTGCGTCGTACATTAAAAGTATGCCCCCTCCAGAGGCTCGGCGGTATGTCTACGTACTTATTCTGCTCGAAACCGGGTTTCGATACCCGTTGTGGGTAGAGCACTTTGGGTAGCTTTGTGCTAAATAACAAACAACTACATTAAAGGTACAACTATGTAGCGGGCCGCAGGTTCGAATCCCAGTCCCACCAAACATGCTCGCCCTTTCAG